AACCCGCCTGTTGTGGCTGTTGCAGGCTGACCAATAGCATCATTTCTCTTTATATCAGCTAGTACAGGGCTGATATTTTCATCTTCAAAAGCAAAATAAACAGGATACTGGAATAAAACATAACAAAAATCAATCTGCATTAGATCAGAGTGATGATGACAAAAGGAAAGTTACAAGTATCTATAAAAAGTTGAAAACATGAGATAAATTTACAAAAAAATGACTACAAAGGTTCACATCATAAAGTTAAGAGACAACTTTAAAAGTACACTTTTTCACTTACCGGGATGTTGACATGAATAAGCAACTGCTCCAGGTCATTCAATATGTTCCTTGTGCGGTCTATTTCGAAATTAGCATCAGCACCGACAGTATGTGGGTTATCTGGACTAAAATTTGGAGGGAGTAAAAATAGTAAACCCCCCAACAGCTTTTTCTGTCCAATATATTCTGCCATAAGATTAAATTTTAGATAATGCAATCTTAATAGAAAGAAAAAGATGATGGAATTTCAAACACCCTCCACCCCACCCCACCCCACCCTTGCAGCTTTTTCTGACTGCATTTGACAGCTCTACAATAAGATTACAAACTAGGAAAAGCAGTATAAATAAAAAAAGGGATGGAAAACGAAATTGAAAATGATCACAACTAAGTTTAGAGGCCATATTGCAACCATTTCAAATACTAGATAACAAAAATAACCCAATAAGGTCCTACAAGTGGGGACCGGGATGGGTGAATGTACACAAATCTTACCCTAGCTATAAAGGTAGAAAAGCTGTTTCCATTTTGATACTCAATAAAAAAGTCTGAAAAGGACAAAGTCAATGAAGTCAAAATAGAGTACGATTATTTGTTCTTTTGGTGACAAATACATCAATAATCCTACTCTGCGGCAAGTCAACAAAGCAAGATACATGCATATTATGGCCAGCTTATATTGGAACTTTTTGCTTCCAAAAGCAGAGGTTAGTAAAGAATAGAGATAAAGCCATGTAAACCCAATTTGATATCTTTCTTAAAAATGATATCATCCTAGATAAGAAAACTATTTCCTCCGTCCCACTAATTTTGGAACATAGAAGAGGAGCACACAAATTTAGTAAAAGTGAATTTGTATGATTGATATTGAATTTTGTAAAGTTTGGTTTGATTTGAGACGCATAAAATAGCAAATATGGCATCCGACAAGCATAATCAAAATGGAAAGAGAAAAAAATACTGGAACATATGGAGTAAAAATATTTGAAACAGATTGTAGTTTCTCCCCATCTCAATCTAGCAAGCAGTGTACCATTTTAGTTAGGTCACTATATCCATACCATGATTTGGAAATTTACAAAACAGCATAAATAATATCTGAAAATAAGCTGATTTCTGGTAAGGTTTCCAAATGCTAAAAGAAAAAACCATATGAACATCAAGAACTGTTAGTAATCAGACAGCAGAAAACTGAAAAATAGCCATGCCATGGGCTCAAAATCAGGTTAATCAGTCATGTTTATACTTTTGTTCCAGTGTTTCCAGTGGCTGAAATAACATGCCTTCTATTTGAGCCAATTCTTCAATGTAATTATCGACATGTAGCCAAAAGATGAAGGCTAGAAGGTTTTATATGTAAACAAAAATAGTATAATTATTTGAAATGATGGTGAAACGGTAACATTTGTATTACCAGTTCTATGCTACCATGACTCATTTTGTTATCGTAGCTCGAATATTTTCCCTCCCTTTTCCTGCTCAATGAATTCTTTCAAAAAAAACTTTCCAAAAGAACCTATTATTATCTCACCCTACTTTTCCTATCAAATTGTAGATGAATAAGAACTAATCTCATACACGCTCATAATGAGAGCCTTCCATATTTATAAGCTACTTTTTATAATATAAGTGGTAGTTTGTACTACACCAGATGGAACGAAGCCTTCCCGGGCCTCAGCCAAGCTCTGTCCAGCTAGATGCCTATGTTACGTAGTACTAGTTTTTATCACCATTTTCAGTCCAACTAAATATTTAAGCCTCGCCAAGATGTATTGGTGTATGAGATGCTCCCTTGACAACACTTCTAGCATGCCTAATAGCATTCAATGAAATGCTCCAACACATAAAGGCTAACTAAACTACCATCTGGGAAAATGCAAATAAAGGAGCAGTCTCCAGAAGATTGGCAAAGAATTAGAATGTTTTTTCTTAAAAAAACATCATACAGCTCCATGATATCAGGTGCACACGTACAGAAAAGCTAAATAAACTTAGGTTTCACAAAAGTTTGGACATTTTTCCACAATAAGTCAAAGTGCATTTTATAGTAACCAAACTCAATACAGTAAAATCCTCCGGCGTGTAGGGGCAGTAAACAAGGCACACCTTTGATGAGAGTGAGATTCAATTCGCTAAGTGGAAGCATGATAACCGACCGGGAGAGATCGGCAATGGAACCTAAACCGGACGAAGAGGACAGAAAGGAAGAACCGGCGTGATGGTTGAGCGAGGCAAGCCGAGATCCATAAGGGACGCCGGACAGATCATACTGGACAAGGCGGTAGACGTCGACGGCGGTAACGGCGTCGCCGAGCTCGACGCAGGCGACGAGCACGAACACCAGAACCATCAGTGAGTAGTAGAGTGACGCCAGCACTTCCGGCCTCCTCCGCTCATTCGCCATTGCAGGAGAGTTGGACTGGAAGTGTGAGGGTTTTGGAAAATATCAATGAAATGCCTATTTTTGATTCACATTTGGTTTCCCAATATTACTCCGAAGCTTTTTATTATTATTTTAGTACAGAGTATTTGATTCGTGAATTTTTTATGCACATTACTTCAGAATTATTTCATGATAAATCCTTTTATATTCATATAAATTTCCAAATTTCTTGTAAAATAATCCGTAGCTTTCAAATATAAATGACCACAAAAATTATAATTTCAAATAAGTACTAGGAAGTATGTTGGAAAAGTATAATTTGGTCAATTTTGAGTATATTAGAAAACTGTTTGTTATATAGACTAGTACGTTCATTTATACTAAATCAGAAAATCGTGCGTTTGGATAAAGAAAAAATTTGAAAAAGAAAAAATGTTAAGGAGAAAATCAAGAGGAAGTGTATATTTTTCCGTGGGTAAAGAATGAATAGAAAATGAGAAAAAAAAGAAAATATATAGAGTAATTGATTTTTTTTGTTTGGTTGAAAAGATAACTAAGAGAAGAAAATACAATAACATTTTCACCCTTCTTATTAGTCAACAACTTTGGTGTCATTGTATATTTTTCTTTTATAATTTTAAGAATTTTATCTAATGAAAATTGTAAGTGGCAAGAGGAAAAGCTTGATATTCTCTTCGTCTCAAAAGACTGTTTCACTTAATTATTTAAAAATCACAAGTATGGTAGAGAGAGTATGAGAGGAATTTCATAAAAAAGACCTTTCATATTGTATATAAACTATAAAGTATATTGTGCATTCAGCTAAATTTACCTCACCGCCGTTTTGAAGACACATATTAAAATGACCAACTATTAACTAATTCACAATCGTCCACTCACAAGTACACCCCCTCCCTCTTCTTCTTCGCTTCCTCCGCCTGGGTGTGGGAGAATCCAGTTTCGTTGTCCTGCTCCGAAACATTCCAGTCTCATTCTTATAATGTTCTATTTCATTTAGATAAATTTTTATTTTTACATTTTATAAAAGATTTGAATTAGGACATCCCGAATCATTTAGAATTGTCCCAGTCCCAAAGAAAACGGGACAAAGAGAAATAATGTAGTATCCCAAACGGTTCTGACTCGTTTCTATAAATTGGAATCAGGATGACTAGAATTTCAAACCATTCTGATCTGTGCACGCCCCTACGGCCTACCCCCGCCTATTTCGTCTTTCTTCCTCAACATCTCACCCCATCTCAATCACTTCCTCATCCACATTCCATCATAGTCATCATATTATACTCATATATACAAGATGTTCGGAAAAAATGGAAAGAATTGAGAAAACTGGAAAAAGTTGAAAAATGGTAGAAAAAATTAAGTATTAAAAGATTACTTTATCAAATGATTACTCAAATAAATATGTAAGTAACAAATGTCTATGTCAAGGATGATATGTTATAAATTTGGATATATAATGTTATTGTATATTCATCATATATATATATATATTTTTAAGTTATTGGAAGGAGTTGTAAGAAAACTAGAAGATGTTTTTAATAAGTAGGAGTTAGAAAAACTTAAAAGTTAATTTTCCCACCTCAAAGAACATGCCTAAATTGGAGATTCTTTTCAAATCTCAATATTTTACATTGGTGATTCTTAAGAAGGCCAGGTATGTTCATGGTTTTTTTTTATTTTTGTTATTTGTAGATATTTTTTCTTGAAATGATATCAAGACAATAATCAGGACTCCTTATGTTTTTGAAAGCAATGTTTTCCGTATTTAAGCAATATTTTTGGGAATTATTTTCAAAAACTCAAATTAAAAAATTTCCACTGTAGTAGTTATGGATTTATTCTTTAAATTTTATGTGTTTTAATTAATGTAAGATTGATACAGTAATGGAGTGATTCGAACTTATCAACACACTTTCATGTTTTAGTGAAACCAGGAAAACTAATTAGTTTCATGAAAAAACCTTAAAATAAAAGCAAGTCACAATCCTTTTGGTCATTCAGTGGTAATTCTAGTGCGGACACTACTCAAACAAAGTAGAAAACTAACTCAATTTCATGAAGCAAAGCAAATAAAATTACAAAAATACCCTAATAATATAGTTCCCACAAATCGGAGAAGAAGAAGGAAGACCAAGGAAGGCTGAACTGCAAGCAGAAGAAACCCTCTTCAAAGAACAAAAAAGGCCAAACATCCAGAGGAGCAAATTTTGAAAATGTATTTTAAGCGTCAATTATTTTTATTGAAATATTTAGCAGTGATGAGCCGTTTCCACATCAAATGTAAGCGCACAAATTATGTAAGAAGGTCGACATTTTAGACGCATACCATAAAACTACAATACCACCCCTTGATAATGATGAGGGAGTAAGATTTGTGAAACATTTCTTGTGAAATAATGACCATTGTCCATCACTGCTCTTAATGGCTCACTACAGCGTCTACAACAAAAATTATATTATAAACTCACAAAGACACCTCCCCCAACAAAATAATAATTGGAGGCAGATCATGTTTCAGATAGAAGCCCCCTTGCCAAAAAAATATGAAGTCATCCCCAGTTGTTTTCTTCTTCACTCTGCTAGCTGCAGGGTTTGATAAAGGAAGTGTTATAACAAAAGGATGCAATCATGGACGAGTGGCGTTCGATTTTAAAGAGGTTGACAATGCAGTAGTCCATGAGTGTGAGTGTACATTTCCCGGGTTATGTCTGAGGCTGAGCGTTTGGGCTCGTCATCGGGCCCAGAAGCAATCAGTTACGCAGGCTTCTCGGTCTAAGCCGCATCAAGTGGATTTGGGAAAGATGAAATGCCAAGAGATTGTGTTTAAGGAGAGGGATGAAAAATGAATGTGATGCAGAGAATTTTCCTTAATTAGTCACCAGACGCTTCCTCATTATCAGGGAAGACAAAGTGAAGGTCTTCATTGTCCCTATAGACTTGCACTAGAGCAGCAGCTTTGTATGCAAATAGCCCAACCATTGCGGGCACCAGCTGAGTCATAAAGTGAACAAAATAGTCAATAAACATAAAGGATACGACTGGTTTTAATTAGGTAAAGATGGCCACACATTACCTGGAAGTCAAAAAAATCGTGTGCGAAATGCTGACATAACTCCCACACTCCAAATATAGCTGCAGGAAGAACAAGTCTGGGGGATGAAAGAGCAATGCCACTACCCTTAACTGATCTCTCAAAAATATCCTTCAAGTCCTGAGTACTAACTCCAATTCTGTAAGGACGTCATTTCAGAGCATTAGTCAGTCCAAAATTTAAATTAAAAATGGTGCTCCCGTACATAAAGTGAGAATAAATGGATCTATTTATGGATTTAAAAGTACTTCTTTGGTTTCCTTTTCGTGAATATTTCTGGAACCGTTTCCTTTGTGAGCTTATCCACATGTTGGCATAGTAGTTGAAAGTATATGCAACTGCACATAGATGCATATAGGGTAACTAATTAGTTTGTAATCCATAAAAGGAAAATATGAAGACCAGCAAACTTCATTATCATAATTTTTTTCCACTTGTGTGTCAGAGGGTAAATAATGAACTAAATAAATGGCACATTAAACTTTGCTTCTAACTTCCAATGAAATTATTGGGTAGTAAATGCATCAAGGGTCTAACACAAACAACCTCTATGCTTTTATAGGGGTAAGATTGCATATATCTTTATCCCCAAACCCCAATGGAGTAAGGATTATACTGTGTTTGTTGTTTTTGTGTGAGGAGGGAGTGAGGAAATTTGAATTTGGTGACCCTTGTACTTGTGCAACATGATTTCAGTACTAAAATTTGTGAAACTGCCAATGGCAAAATATATCATCTATGCCACTACCTCTTGTTCAACATTAGTCACTTGCTAAGCCAATAAAATGCAAAAGGTAATAGGACCAGTAGAACAAGTTTTGAGAAACAAATGTCAGACCTGACCTGAAAAACACTCCTGTTGTGTAGCTTAGAGCAGCCTGTAACGAGCAAGTAGAACCAGTTAGCGGTGAGGTAAATAATTCTCAGATTTCAACAGCTTCTATCTCAAAGCATTGATAAAAGTGTGTTTGATAGGGCAATTTGAGTGGCCACCGCTCTCTGCAAGGCCATTTGGATGAACAGCCCATAAACTACAATTGGAAAATGGGGATAAAGTGACTAATGTCCTAAATGGTGAATGGCATTCAGCCAATGAAATGTGTGTGTGTGTTTGTCAGTGTGCACGCGTGTGTGTGAAGGGAGGGGAGATTCTTTTCTTTAGACAACTAGTAAATGACTATGTGGAGCTTTTTTTTGCTTCATTTCATAAATCTTGGTTTCTTTATGGGAGACTAATGTTCAATTGTTCAGGTATGTTTTAGTTTTAGGGGTCCTATAGAACTTAAGTCTCCTCTAGTCCATAATACGTAGTACTTGTGCTCCAATGGTTGGGTACACCTTTCATGTCGACTAAAGATAACTTTGTGTCTATAAAAAGTGCTAGGAACCCACCACGGGTGCCCCGTGGATGACAAACACAGACCGTCTGTGAACACAAATGATTATCGTCTGTGTATGTATAAATCATCTGTGATTGTCATCCGTGGGGGTACCCGTTGTGGGTTCCTGGCATGATCCTGTGTCTATAATTCTATATATTGGCAAAAATCTCTTCTTAAACATGGAGTTTCATCCTTTTCAGAAAAATATACTAGTATAAATAAAAGTTATAAAATTTACCTGAGGCGACAAAGCTAGCAGGCAATATCCACTGCAAGCTGTCCCAATGCTCACAGTTAAGAATAACAAGTCCCTCTTCAGCTAATAACCAAAAATACAAAACATGAAATCCAGTGTTCACAACTCTACAAATGTGCAAGCAACTTTGCAGATTGAATTTAAAAATAATACTACGTAGAAAACAAACTTTAGCCTCGATGATAACTTAAGCAAATAAATCTTTAAAAACTTGGCACCCCGTGGTCTTCCTGTTTTTCTATTAATATTTGATTTAGAAATTCAACCTTTAGTTCATATCTGCAGCATACAATGATCTAACCTCCAAGCTAAAGTTGTGACTATTGAGCATAGAAGAAGGTGACATTACACTAATTTCTCACAATGACCAAATACCTTCCAATTATTAAGGGCCTGTTTTGAGGCCGCTAATTTTGAGTCAAGCTTTGATTTCAAGCCTGCGATTTTGAATATGCTGTGTGTTTGGCACATGACTAAAGTCATGATTTTGAGTTTTACTACAAGACTAAAGTTTTCTGATTCATAGTTGGGAGGTTAATTACAATCACCAGATTTCAAGACATGGCTACCTGTCTACCATGGTGTGCGAAAAACCATTTGGGTCTGGGATTGGATTCAATGCCGCTGCTAAAACTTTCCCCGTCGCTTCAACCCCGTCTAAATTCTAAAGTAGCTCACCACCATTGATAAAACACTTAACACACAACTATTATCTCCTCTCCTTGTCGCACAACCCATGTCTACTCTCCTCGTAGGCTCGCCGCACAACCCAAGTCTACTCTCCTCGTCGCACAACTCATGTCTCCTCTCCTCGTCTCACAACCCATCTCTCCTTTCCTCGTCTCACAACCCATCTCTCCTCTCCTCGTTGCACAACGTCCGTCTCCTCTCCTTACCTTGTCTTCAACAACCACTGTCGGTGGTATGAGTTGCCACCTTAATGGAAATAGGTGGTGGGTGTGGGAGGCGGGGCAAATGGTGGGTGACTGGTTGGAGGGGATGCCAACACCAGGGATCGACGAAAATGGGTTGTTGGAACTCTAAGTGAAATGGGTTGTGAGTGTTGTAAGTGACACAGTTTCGGGAAGGGGCTACCCGGGCCCTAACTAAAATTGGTTTTATACATATACAAAACCACACCATTCAAACAAGTTTTCAAATCACTATAACTCTAAATGACCATGTGGCATGTGCATATCATACTCAAAATCTATGATTTTGAGTCAGAGTTTGCAATCATCATCCAAACAGACCCTAAAGAAGTAAGCTATTAATGAATGTATCATGCAATTGAGGACCTAAGCAGACAAAACTTTGAACTTTTAAATATTTAAGAAAAACAAGCTAGAACCAATCAAATACAAGATGTTGGAGCTTCAAACTCCAAAGTTGCTACCTGAAGTCATGAAGAAATAATTAGGAAGGGTGGCTTTGGTGGCAGATAGGATCTAGAATACACTACTTTTGCAATAATGTTCCAAGGTATATCATTCAGGTTTTAGAGTACATTCTTTTAAGATTTAGGCCTTTAGCCCTAGTTTAATTCAGCGAGATAGGAAGAAAAAAATGAAATTGATTAAAAGGAAATCATGTGTTTGGTTCAAAGGACGGGAGTGGAGGTAGTATTTTAGGAATATACTCCCTTTGTCCCAAAAAAGGCTCCTAGTTTTAATTTCAAATTTTGTTTTAGTTTAATTTTAAAAACTATATAAAATATTATACAAGTAATATAGAAAAATAAAAATTTTAAAAAAAGATGGGGATGGAATGGGGATCCACACCCCTGAATGGGATGAAATGGGGAAAGTTGATGTGGCGCTGAGTTGGAAGTAAGGATGGTGAGGATGGTGGTGATGACACCCACTAGTCTTAGTTTCTGAAATCTTTTCCAATGATGAAGACGAACACAAAGGTAATTGTTAAATTACAAGGCAACTCGGGCTACTAATAGAACTTAATGATACGTGACCGCGCTAGAATCCAGGCTTCAAGCCCCTAACACACATTTGAGTTTTAAAAAGGGCTTACCGCCTCGTATCTGAGACAGTTCAACCTTAACCTTCGCTCATTGTCATTCGGCAGCTCCTGTCCATGCCAAAACAGCAGTTTGAAATACTACTCCTTACCTGATTTTGCTGTCGAAAAGGCTATATATTGTTTTGCTAAACATACCTTAACGGTTCTCTTCATATTAAGAGGTGCTGAGGCCTCACCTGAGAGCCATGCTCTAGTGCTCCTCAATTTCAAAAACCCACCCTCATTTTCTTCCCCTAAAACCTGCAATTTCATTTTAGTAAATCCCAAAAAAACACCATAAATTGAAAGAGGGTATGCATAATTGACTACAAAATCACCTCCTCCTCCAATAACCGGACGTCGTCAGTTGGTCCAGTCTCAGATTCAGCATAACCCACATTTGGGAGATCTCTAAGCCAAATTCTATCAGAAATTCTAGCTATGAAGTCCCCATTCGCCGTTCTATCCTTCAAGAAGTCTCTTAAAACATCGCATTCATCAATCTCGCTCACTATTGACAATTTCGAGAGAAACCCGAGATGATCACTCATGAATGCAAGTGAAATGAAAAGGAAGATGGGAGGCGAGGAGAGAAGAGTACCGGGACGAGATGATTTGAGGACAGAGATTGACACTGGGATTCTTGAACTGCGACTGCGCCGATTGGGAGAACCGGGAAGCAGTTTCGGTTGCAGGAACTGAGAAAAGATGGCGGAAACCGAGCTCATGTCCCTTACTTCCCACTTGCAATGTTATCTTCTGGAGGGACATGCGATTTTCTCTTAAATCCGAAGAACGCCTTCTGAATTGTGATTAATTTGTGATTAATGAGAAGGGCTCAAGTGGACCAGAGGATGTGTAAGGCTCCTTTCCATTCAACTTTTATATCTAATTTCATCTGATTTGATTAGATTTGATCTAGTCTGATAATTGAATCTGATCTAATACGATCTGATTAATTATGATTTAATTTAAAATTCAAATCAATAATTTGATCTGACTTTATAATAACTTTTGAAAATTATAATGATAACCATATTATAATATAATCAATATTTTTATTTTATGATTATTTTTAATGAAATAAAATTAGTTAATTCATATAGTAGAATAATCATTCATATTATAGCGTAATAATATTTTTTATTTATGATTATTTTTTTATGAAATAAGAATATTGATTTAGTATTTTAATAATTAGTTCATATATACATTACAATAAATATTTAATTCATATATACATTAAAAAGTGATTAAATTTGGATAATTAATACTCCGTATAGAGAAGAGATAGTATTTTTCCGACATCTAATAATTAAAGATTATTATCTCTGTTTTCTATTTAACTTGTTTCTAACATTTATTCTTTTTCACTTTTAAGAAGAAAAAATGTGCTTCATATCATTTTATTTTTATCTACTTAAATTTATTTTTAAAAAAAATCGTATCAAGTGGAACAAGTAAAAAAAATAGAATTTAAAAAGTATGAAGTAATAACGATGATGATAATGATGATGATGATGATGATGATAATTCATAATAATAATAATAATTCTTGATTGGATCTGATCTGATCTCATTAGATCTGATCTGGTCTGATCTGATCTGATCTGATTTTAATAAGAATAAGAAAAAAGCAGAAAAATAAGTTGAACGGAACAAGACCTAAATGTGTATGGGTAGGGGTGGACACGGTACGGTTCCGGGACGGTTTCGGTTCCGGAACCGCCGGTTCCGGTACCGGCACCCCATGTCACCGGAACCGTCACCGTGCCGGCCGGTACCGGTTCCGGTACCGGACCGGCCGGGTTCGCCCCCCCCCCCCCCTATTTTTTTTTTGCTTTTTTTAAATTTTTAAAGTATAAAATTGTAAATTTGCAATTGTTTAAGGAAAGAATGAAATAAAAAATCTAAAAATGTAGTTGTTATTTAAATATTGAAAATGAGTAATACACTAACTGAAGAACAACCACATTTAATATCCTGACGGTTCAAAAAAAGCGAGGGGGTAAAGAACCGTAAAGAAACCCTCGAAAGAGCTTATATATCGCTCACCTAAAAAACTAATTACATACGGAGTATTTACATTAACATTAAAAAAAATTTATAACTTATTCTTCAGAACTCGGACTTCCATCTGTGGTTGCATTCATGTAATGCTCCGATTCGAGTTGGTACGATGACTCTTGAGCCCGACGTCTTGCCAAGAGCCAATCTTGGTTGCAACCCAGTGTTTCAAGAGATTCAGCGTTAAGACAACTTCGGTAGTCGGTTAGAATGTTGCCGCCAGCACTGAATTCTCGTTCAACTGCTACGGTTGATACCGGGACGGATAACACTTGTCTTGCTAGTATGCCGAGACATGGGAACATGTGTTCGTTCCGCTTCCACCATCCGAGCACGTCAAAATCGACGTCGTCGTCATCGTACTCGCATGGCACACCCTGGTACATAGCAAGTTCGTTGTGCGAGCTTACTGTTGTACCACTTGAAATCGTCGAAGACTGGCACACTTCCCTTTATGTAACACCCCAATCTGTATAACCCGGAATTACACAAATTAAGGTGAAACGAGAGTTAAATAAAAATTTCGCTTGACATTTGAAAATGACAATTACTTATAAATATTAAATTTACAGACTCTCGATCGCGACCTATTTAAAAATATTTTCAGAGTAATGCGGAAGTACAATAATAATCAAATCATGACACATTTTAAAATCTATTGACCAAACATTGCCTGTCATCCTTGTATCTCCTCTGACTCAATGCCCTCCGGGAAAGGTTCCATCATTGTCTTCTTGTTACCTACGTGTAGTCAACGAAAAAAATACAAACTACACGCTCAGCGAAACCGCTGAGTGGTACCACGCTAGAATTGTAGAATAATTCATAGACATATACATTTACATATATATGTCCACAAAAAGTATAATAATAATATTCATAATATGGCACATTATATCATATGGACAATTTGATGAATCATGATGATAAATATTTAATGATAATTACATGATGGCACAATAAATCAATTTGCTTGTGAGGATGATTACATGATACTCATATAATCCATATATACTTGTTCTTGATGATGATTACATGACATCTATGTAATTGATGTACTTGATGATGATAACATGATGCGTAATTGATGTCACACATAGTCATGATGATTTTACTTGATGATGACTTCATGCTGTATGATTCTAAGTCGCAAGGACGAGCCTTGAACTATGAGATTCGCCCATTTGGTACGACGAACTCACGCAGAAATAGGGGTGGTACTCGAAAATCTAAGTACCATGTACGTACACTAAGCCCGGTCCGTGATGTCGGACTGCTAAGTCCCGCACAATCACAACTACAAGAGACGCACTTCAGCCTGATCTCTTGCGCATGCACATGATGTGATATGTTTCAATATGAATGATGAAATGAATCACATGATATGAACAATTTGTAA